AATAAAAATCATAGAAATACTAACAATAGTAACTATTAAATAACAGTAATAAAAACAATAATAATAACAGCAACAATAATAATGATAATAACAATAACAACAACAACAAGAGAACACTAAGGCTGGTCTTGAAATACATTCAACAACTCACAAATGCCAAAAAAACAACAACAACCAAAAAACCATCAGCTAGCAGTCAAGCCTTTGATTAATTATTATTCATCAAAGTTACTTCTAAACTTAATCTAATTCTCAATCAAGTTCGAAGAATTTGCTAAGGTTAAAGCCGTCAGTTGGTGCGTTTAGCGTGATCAGTGCTTTCATAGTCTACAACAATGAACTGCGGGAAAATCTGTGATAATGACATGTAATAACTAAACCAATATGAAAAAAAAAAAAATGAAGGTAACACAAAGGTAACATTGTGTTGCTTCTTGGATATTTTCTGTACATTGTGAGAAAAAATAGGCTACCATGTCATTACTTCTACTGAAAATAAAAGCATTAGATAATGATGATCATGATAATAGTATTGACAATAATAACAACAATGACAAAGATGATAACAGTATTATCAATAACATTAGCATTGATAATGATACTAATATTCACTATCATTGTTGTAATCATCATCATCATTACAGAAAAATAAACAAAAACACAAGAATACAAAGGAAAAAAAACGCAACTTCCAACAAACAATCACAGACCATACATGAATGTTACTTCCTGCACAGCAAGCAGTTAATTTATGCCCAGTGTGCGAAAAGTGTACTGTGGCTTCTCGCAAAAGCTTTAAGTGGCGTTACTTTAGCTGCAAGTTCTCCCAAATCATCAGCCCTTCATTTGATTCTTGAATATTCATATATAAAATTCATACACACATGCACATCACAAATTACAACAATCTCCAAAAGACAACAGTGCACAGCAAAATTTCTTAGAAGTGTGCATTAATTACTGAGTTGAACATTCTAAGTGTTGTGTATTCTACCTGGTATGACTACTGATATTATTACCATCTGGATTCAAGAGTGTTCTATAAGATACACAGCAGGAGAATATGATACTGAATCTTTGCTAATTATATATATATATATATATATATATATATATATATATATATATATATATATATATATATATATATATATATTATATATATATATTTATATATATATATATATATATATATATATATATATATATATATATATATATATATATATATATATATATATATATATATATATATATATATATATATATATATATTATATTTTTAAATAATACAGAAGAGGTTCATCTATATATAAATAGATTTGAACTGAAAATCATGTTACACCAAGTAGAATATACATAATGAAAGATTTACATTACAAACGACAGTCCTAGACTCTACAGCAAGTACTGAATGCAACGATTCCTCAAACATCCTCAGGTCAGGCACCTGTGCTTTGCTAATGCGACTCTTGAATGGAGAGAATGTGGCCGAAGAGCTGGAATCTGTTCTGCGGTGTCTGTTGGGGAAGTTATTGTCTTTGGGTTAAGAAAAAAAGAATAAAAATACATCAAGAATTCACTATTTTCATTAATAAGCACATTTCTATCCTTTTTCTTTTCCAGAATCTTTTTTTTTTTTAGTTTCTCTTTTGCAATCATTCATCTATAACATTTTAAGGATAGCTCAGTGGCTTCTTAGATCATGACAACTTTGCTTTCCCTTTATTCTCTATGTAATCTTGGATACATTCATATGAAAAGACATGCAAATGTCAATTAAACTTTCTTTTCCTTACCACAAATCTTTACTACTACATAGTGAAGGGCATAATCACACACTGCATGAGTTTTTAATAAACACATCTATAAATCTTCTTCCATATTAATTTTTTCTAAACAATTCTTAAATAATTTATTACAAATAATAAATTTTATAAATGTGATTATCACGTGCTACTCTCAAAGCAACAAAATATATCAGGGTAAGAAATTCCTCTGTGCAAATACCATTTCTTTACTTAGGGAATGGTAATTCACCGTTTTATTGCTTATCTGTCTTTTTAAAACTAACTCATCTAATAGCTTATCTCTTTTTTTAATGTAATGTTTCACCTATTTCTAAGAAGTTTAAAATTCATCTCCTATAAATGAAGGCAAGCTATTCACTGACCCTTTAGCAAAAAATGTAATTTAGTAAATCTAATGTATAATATACAATGGTATATAGTCTTTCCATAACAACAGATATGCAGGCAATGCCAAAAAAAAAAGACTCCTTGCTTTAGACAGACCTAACCAATCAGAAAAAAGATTCCCCACTTTCCTTTGTATATATGATGATTAGAAGGGAGGCTTTGCACTGTAAAACATTCCTATTTAGAAAGTAGTTTGGAAGATGCGATAGTGTCCCTTGTGTTATGTAACATCCCTAGAAAGATAATAATACACAACAG